CAAGTAAAGTATCTGTGAAAAACAACAAGTAAAGTATCTGTGAAAAAACAACAAGTAAAGTATCTGTGAAAACAACAAGAAGTAAAGTATCTGTGAAAACAACAACAACAAGTAAAGTATCTGTGAAAACAATAACAAGTAAAGTATCTGTGAAAACAACAACAACAAGTAAAGTATCTGTGAAAACAATAACAAGTAAAGTATCTGTGAAAACAACAACAACAACTGACGACTATATTAACATACCATTGTTATAGATTTGTCCTCCTTAACTACAATAATAACATACCATAGATCCCCAAACACTAAATATAGCAGTAACATACCATTGTTATAGAATTTTTTCTCCTTAATTGAACCTATTTTTGTCCCTCATCTAGTATTGTATTCTTTTAACTGTAAATAAGAAAACTGTGTAATAAAGTCTTGTTTTATCCCTAGGATTCCAATATCATAAGTTGTGGTACAAACATAATACATAGTAACATGAACTAAACGATTATTTATTTTAAACGTGGCAGGAATTTAGTTTTAAAGAATAGAAACTCTTTCCCCAACTATTGATATTTCCCCTTCGTCCCGCTCGTGAAATATTACATTCGGTGATAGTGATCCATCATTTAAGGTGAGCTTTAAAAAGAACTTTATCAAAATGGAGTTTGTAGATTTTTTAATATTAATTTTGAATTGTTTCGGGATAGAGATGGAGTTGAAGAAGCAGAGGCAAAGCAAAAGATCCACACTGATGATGGTATATCATGAGACTTACTTGTATTATGTGAACAGATGCGTTCTTGGTGTCTGGACCGACCCACTGGGCTATGAGGATATCCGCTCTGTACAGCCTAAGATTGGCTATGGTCTCTATCCAATCGAATTCTTCCTCAGTCCAGCTGGATGAGATCACTGGCCAATCACCAGTGTTCTTTAAGAGCTCAAGTAGTGGCGTTTCACGTCGTTCCTCAATCAAACCTAAAACAAATTAACTGGTATTAATTATAAAAATGACTAGATAACTTGATGAAATTTAATTGGAGATTTACTGTAAATTTTTAATTACTAAAACTTAACACAACACAAAAAACAACTTTCTGCTTAAGTATTTAAAGAATAAGAATTTAACACTTGCTGGTGTTAGGATTGTAAGTCTATAGAATTTATTTCTTTACCACGTGAGAAATAATAAATAAAACCCAAAATAGTTTAGTTATACAGTAAGATAAATTTGTTACTAAGCGAGCTAAATATGTGCCTTAAAATAAAAGACATACATGTCCTTACTTTTCAGCATCTTGTCATGTCTAGATGCCTCACATAAAACTGCAATTTCTAGATATAAACTAGGCTTAACTCCTGTTAGGCTTAGTTTGCACTCGCTAATTAAGTGTCGCAATCTCATGACAAACCTCTACTCACATTTTATTACCGAGTCGAATGAAAAACTGATTATTATATCGGTATTTGCGCCGATAGGTGGCACTATCGACAGAATACAGGATTTGTGAGTTATCAGGAATTAATAATTCAGGTTAAGAATCCACTTTTTTTTTTTTTTACAGGAACTGATTTTATTAATCCATTTTAAGTGCGTTAACCCAAACACCTGAATGAAATACAAAATCTTGATCAACATAGTACAAAAAGATTTAAATGATTTTCATGCCAAATCGTTTTAATTAAGCTGGGACTTAAAAAGAAAAGGGTCTTAATGATTATATGCTAATTTCTCTTTTTTCTTGTTTGTAATTAAGGACAAAGCTACACAATGGGCTATCTGTGCACTGCCCACCAAAGGTATCGAAACCCGGTTTCTACTGTTTTAAGCCTGCAGACATACCGCTGTGCTACTGGGGGCTTACATGCCAAACAGTTCTAAACAATATATGTAAAGACTGACTTTCCTGTGTAGGTTATTCTTGCCAAACAGTTCTAAACAATATGTGTAAAGACTGACTTTCATGAATAGGTCATTCATGCCAAACAGTTCTAAACAATATGTATAAAGACTGACTTTCCTGTGTAGGTTATTCATGTCAAACAGTTCTAAACAATATATGTAAAGACTGACTTTCCTGTGTAGGTTATTCATGTCAAACAGTTCTAAACAATACGTGTAAAGACTGACTTTCCTGTGTAGGTTATTCATGTCAAACAGTTCTAAACAATACGTGTAAAGACTGACTTTCCTGTGTAGGTTGGTCCAGTTGTCAACGCTATTTTCAAGTTTTGAACAACTCGACTTTCAAGATCCGATGTTTCCGTTTATCAACGTTATATTTTAAGCTCTGTGCAAGAACTCAGCTAACAGATGATTCCGCATATAAAATCTATCTTTAAGTTTTGTACAAACAAAAAAAAAAAACTTTTCAAATAAATCATATTTGTAAACGGTATCTTTACACTACGGATTTTACACGCCCAACAGTCGTACATATAGTTCTAGTCTGTAAGATAAAAGAAACACGCACACACATGCGTGGTATTGAGATGTCAAAAAAAAATAAATATGTTTTTATCTTTCACGAACCCTCTAGTGGACCAGTTTACATACTCACAATGCTTAAAATCCGGTGTTCGAATCTCCGCGGTGAACAGAGCATAGATAGCCCATTGCGCAGCTTTGTGTTAAAACAGGAACCTCACCTTTCCCGAGTTATTTATCTTGGTTTTACATCATGAGAACACGCGTAGTTTGATTTATATGCGCTCGAATACTTGGCGGGTTTTCCATAAATAAAAATATCAAATGTTTATGTTTAAATAAAAATGCCTAGAATAGATGGACATTTATAAAACAGGACCTGCTTGGTTGGAGGAAAACTAATTGGTTCATATATTAGCATTTATAAACTATAACATTACAACATGAATCTAAACTTTCTGTGTGTTTGTTGTCCGAGAAAGACAGCTTCTGAAGAAACTGATTACATTTTTAAATATATGTATATATATTCAACCCTCAAATAAGTGGGGCAAGTTAGATAATTGATTTATAAGATACGTACTTTCATTCCTACATAACAAGTTAGATAACTGATTTATAAGATACGTACTTTCATTCCTACATAACAAGTTAG